CAGCGTCTGTCTTTTCTAACTCAAGGAAGAGGTGTATTAGTGGCTTTTAATACATTTTTGCCACTTTTTTTGATGAAAAATATGAGAGATATCAAAACTATGAACGAACAAGTTGTTTCATGTACTACATTATTATATTACAAATATGTTTTTTTACTGGTATAATTAATATATAATCATATATACTACGAATGTATTTTTATTACTGATATTAGCAATATATAATCATATATACTACGAATATATTTTTATTACTAATATAATCACTATAATCATTTATGAACCAAATATATCTTTATTATTACAAATGGGTTAGAAGGCTTAATTTAATACTACTTTCATATATTAAGATGTATATTAATATATATATAATTTTAATATTAAGTATAGACTTTAATACAGTAGCCCAACGCTAAAAAATTAGCCCCTAGGACTACCAATGCATTAGAAGGCGTAATTTGATTTTTTGATATAATAGGGAGAGGACGTTTACAAATCGTGCCGCGTACGACTAATTATGCCGAGGGCGTAATTTAATTTTATCTTATAATAAGGAGAGCACTTCTGTGAACCGTACCTAGAACCACAAATTACTGTGAAGGCGTAATTTGATTTTATCTTATAATAAGGAGATGACTTTTACAAATTGTACCGCGAACTACTAATCACGCAGAAGGCGTAATTTGATTTTATCTTATAATAAGGAGGAAACTTCTGAAACCGCACCTAGAACAACTAATCACGCAGAAGGCGTAATTTAGCTTCTTATTAGCTGCATTAATAGCACGTAGCTAAGTGTAACTAAGTGTAATTGTAGCTATCTTAACCTAAAACAAGCTTTTAAGGGCATGTCGTATTCTTTGACTTTATTTATTTTTAAATTAAAATATAGATTATTTCCAAATAAAAGTTAAAACGTTATTTGTGGACTGCCGACGGAACATTCAAAGTCGTAAATTTATGATAGGTTAAAGTTAAAATTAGCCATGTGTTAAGCCCATGTTTTACCTAAGCCGGTTTGTCTTTTCTACGTAAGTAAGTTTCTTTTTATGACAAGTTCTGGCACATTCAAATTCAATTCACACTACTTTTAATAAATGGCACATTATTCTTAATAATTAGTAGCAAAAAGAAGAAGCTTTCAATGTTGTGCTCATCTGATCGCAATTTCTTACATTTTTTTCTTCTTTTTTCAATTTTTATTTAATTTTGAAATTATTTTTTTATTTTTTTTGGGCTGCGGATGGCACGTTTAAGGTCGTAATTTTATGATAAGCTAAAGTTAAAGTTAAGCATGTGTTAAGACCCCCTTTATCCTTAATACTTACTATCCAAAAGAATAAGCTTTCAATGTTGTGCTCATCTGCTCGTAATTTTTTGAATTTCCATTTTCTTCCTTTTTTCAATTTTTTAACACAAAGGCTATGAAATGAAAGCTTTTTTATTATTATTTTTTTTAGATTAGCGAGAACAATATCGCAAATTCGTAACTTTATTGATAAGTTTTGTACATTTATCAAAACCAAAAAGCTATGATAGCTTTTGAATTTCAATTGTTTTTAAAAACCAAGAACCACTAATTACTTAGAAGGCGTAAATTTAACTATACTTACACACAGTTAGATATTCGAAATATGAGACACCGTTTGCAGTGGCGAAACGGTAAACTAGCAACATATTACGTGGATGTCGTAAGTTAAATAGTCAGTGTAGGTTTTTCCTAACAAGCTTAGTAATTCTAGATACTCACGATACAGTTTTATGATACGTTAAAGGTCAAAATTTTGTGAGATTCTTGGATCGGAATTCTTCACATAGGGTTAAATAACAATCTATAATTTGTGTATTCTCGCACCTTCTTGTGTTATAGTGTTAGAAAACTGTGTGCCCTATAACTGTCAATCATATTTCTTTTGCAAAAGAAATATATTAATTTTGTAAATTAAATTAATTTTGTAGAATTTAAACATATTTTTGTCATTTTTTATGGTCGTGAAATTACAAGTTTTTACAAAATATAAAATTTAAATAATAAAATTTTTTTTAATTTTTTGATTTAAAAATTTTTTTAAATATAAAATTTAAATAAATCGTGAAATAGATATTATATACAGTAAAACGTTTGTTGTGTTGTGTAATGGAAGGTAAGTCTTCTATTTCCCTAAAAAGCTTGTTATTAGATAAATTTAATATTTTTTGTTATTAATTTTAATGTTATCGTACGTTATATATCGAGTATTTAAATATTGCCGTTTGACGATTTATTAACTCACGTTTGATTTTGAGGTTTCGTAAAAGCAATTATTAAAATTCACTTTTTCTTTTATCGTATTTACCATTGAACTACCACTATGAAAAATTTTATCAATTTGTAACACATTTTTATCACTTTTTAACAACCTTTTACAAACTTACGACTATCACTTAATGACGTAATGTTAAGTTGTCTTATATTGTATTGCTTTGTGTTACAGTTGTCTAAGATCGTACTAAAATATTGTGCTATAATACCGTAATATTGCTATAGACTACCGTGCCCATATCGTGCTGGAAGGAAAACATTATATTGTATCTAAAACCGATTTGGATTGCTCAATCAGCTAAATTGTTCTCAGATGACCAGCCCACAAACAATAGCCGAAGACAAACTCCAACATTACTTCAGTCGATACATTAACACAGAACTCAGAGGGGCTCAATGATACTACGTACACACCAACTCACAACACAAACGAGTCAATTAAGAAGCCTATTTCGACGTTAAGCCTGGAGTAACAAACCCCCAAAGAAGAAGGTTGCTTCCGACAACCAGACCTTTGAAGCACCAATACAATCAGTGCTCATCCTATCGCAAAACTTCATGGCAACCGTAATTCCCGATGCCTCGACAAATGGTGATATGGAAGCCCCGATAAATGTCGTAATTCACCTCAACGAGCCTACTCAACCACAGCTGTGAACTGTTATGGAAATTCACAAGACAAAAGTTCAGCTTAAGGTCAAACTCTACCTGCCCAGTCCTAACATTAGCCCATAATAAATGTAAAACTTTTCTAACGTAAAAACAATAAACACGTTGATATGCTACTCCGTAAAATTTAAAGTTAAATAACAATTTATAAGTTGTATATTGTGACCCTTTTTTACTGCACGCTTAGAGAAATCTGGTCTTTAGAGCACCGTCTACGCGTGAGTACCTACCGGTCTTTAAATCATCAAGACGGTTGCTCGTTTTGAGACGGTTGGAATGTCGATTTTGTTCGGCTAACCATGCGTCAGTACATTGCACTATGGTAGTTCACTGTCAATACCTAGTGCGAAACGATTGCCCCAACTGCCTAAAAAGCCTAGTAGTTAAGTTGCGAACGCAATAAAAGTTGTTTCTATTGTTACCCTCTTTTATGCTAATTTATTGAGCCTGTACGGCCTATGTCTAAAACAACTTCAGACCAGTCAGCTAGGAATGTCCGCCTTCGACAAGTTGAACGGCGAAGAAAATTGTATCTCTGAAATACAAGATGAATTGAATTGTCAGACAATCCACGAAGTCTTAGTACAAAATTTGATCAGCTTTTGAGAGATCAAAACGTCGCCTTCCCTAAGGCAATTAATTTATATTCATTTTGCATAAATTTGGCCTTTCTCTCAATTAAACCGTGGTTTAATTGCCTCGATAACTTTCGATATGCTATTTTACATATTGTTTGTCACTTTCACGTCTTAATAAATTCACTTTTAATAGCTTTTTGAACACTATTTAAACTCAAATTTCTTCCATGTTATTTCACGAATTGATCATGTTATGAAGTGTTCATATACCTATATTGCCTAAGATCTAAATTATTCTAAAATTCTAATATTTAAGTTCTTTTAAGTTCATATTCCTACCTTATTGTCCTACCTAACCTATCGTGCTGTAACCTAAATAAATATATATTGTATTTAAATTGGCCATCCTAAGTCTAGGATAATTCAAGGCTAAGTGTAGTACTCGTACTACAAAGGAAATCAAGCGTAGAAGTACTTTTTTTCTACAAGTACAGAAGAAAAAGGGATTGAAAACATTGGTAATCTGACATGGCATGCTAAACTACAGCTTTTAAACCGTCTCGAAAACGTACTGGCCTCTAAATCTTTTGATCAGCCTGCCCATGTGTCGCGACCATCATCGCGAGTCGTTCCCGCGTAATTAACTTTAATTATCCTCCCTTTCAATTCCCAATCCGTCCATATTGATGAGCCTCGTTAAGGGCCATTAATATGGACCGGCTGGAGTAATCAAACACCTTATTAATATTCTATTGCCTATTCTTCACTTCGATTATTCATGTTTTAAACTATATAAAGACGTTCGATTACACAATAAATATTATCATTCATACAAAGAATGATGAATGATATTCGGTGTTGTGTTGTTACCAACGAGAAAGTACGGTAAGTCCTTTATACTCCACTCCCTAGTCAGTCCTTCTTCTCCTGGTGGTCTTGCCCTGTCTAGACCAGCCAGGACAACTCCCAGTAGCCGGAGCCAATACTACCTTGCCTCCGGCTGCGACCTAAGCGCGACCTCCCAGGACCGTTCCCAACTAGTCCTACGGTCCAACCCCTCAATTTCGTGCACGCGGTTACCGTCCAGAGACCGCGTCACGACATTTACTGGTGACCCTGACGTGATATTTCTTCAAGGTGGGATTAACCTTGAGGAAAGTCAACTTTCTGAGAAGGGACCGGATGAACAACGGGTGCCCTCCCCGCGGCCCCTGCCCTGATCATTATCCTTACTTCTACGACGAAGAAAAGCCAAACCAACCTCCTCAACAGTACGGACACATACCCGGCTGGAACCCAGCGTGTACCTCGGTCCCGACACCAAAATGGATGAACTTGACAACGACGCGTTGTATACGGTCTTCGATCAAGCAAACGGACTTTCGAACGGCTACGAAAGCACGTCCAACGGTTAGACATACTGCACCTACAATGGAGTGAACTAATCAAAAATGACCCTCATGAAGATGAGGTCCGACAAAACTACATTGCCACATACGGCGCCTACCTGGTGGCTGCTGATGAAGGAAGAATGGCAGTCGACCATCTTCGACGACGACTCCTACGACTTAGAGAAGCCGTTAAGGATCGCCTCGACCTGGATGAGAGCCATCCAGCGAGGGCACGTTAACAAATGTGCCACCAAACGACGCCGTATTTACGACGCCGAGCCGTCCCAGTGCGCCCGTTACCGTAGACACTCGAGGGGGCCAAGAGGGCTTTGGATTTACTCCTCTATGATCGGAAGGAATAATGTCTCCTTTGTAGCTCAATAGGGAGAGCAATCGCCCGGTCAGCGAGAGGTTACGGGTTCGACTCCCGTCGGAGATAGGCATTTTCCCTCCCGGTCTTAGTATAGCACCGTGGTAGCTGCGACACCATGTGGACCAAAGTAATACTCCATAACATTAAGGTCATTAACCCTGGTCGACCCAAATTACTCTAAATGATGATTCGTTCGTAGTTGTGTTGGAAGAGAAAGAAACTTTCATCACTTCACTCGAAACCATGGCTATGACTGTATCACAAAAAGAAGCCGAACACTCGGAGCTCAAGAGGAAGCTCGAAGGAGCCAAGCGAAATACCCCGGCCAGTCTACAAGCCGAGCTCTCAAAGCTCCGAACAACGTTTCAAGAAGAAAAGCGAAAGAACAGGCAGCTAAGCCGCGACCACTAACGAACGACCGAGGAGCATGAAGACTGCCGCAATGAAATCCGCCACCTAAAGTCTCGTATCACCAACAACTGATGAATTCACGAGAATATATCGTAAAACACAAATACACGACATCTCATCAAAAATGGTGCCAACTGTGTAGCAACGACCACTTGGCCGTTAAGTGCACACCTATTACACCGATAAACAACAGGTCATAATAACACAGCTCGGTTTGTGCAGTCGTTGTCTCCTACCTTTTCACGTCTAATTGAATTGTGTGAGGTAGATGTCAAGGTTGTTGCTTTCAAATCACTACAAATCCATCTGTAACCTCAGAAATCTGTGTTTTGACAATATAGGCGGAAGGCGGCATTGTCTAAAAGAGTGAGTTCACATTGGCGATTTTCGCGGTCTTGTAGTAGGTAGCGAACTTGATCATGCCTCTTAATTATCTCTATGGACCGAACTTCATTATAGCGTGACTTTCATTCTGAATCCGAAAAAAATGCTAAAAACAGCTCTGTGTCAACCAAAACCGAACTCACTATGGATGGTATTCCATTTTGGATCGTAACGCCTCACAATTCTTTAACAGTAACACGTAATCCAAATTCAGCGCAAACCTATATTGTCTTTTTTTGTTTTGGCTTTGGCTGGCACAGTTTAACGTTCTCAGGCCCGGCACTGTCGTTACGGTAATAACGAAAAACCTAATAATATAATAATGTTTCCCGTCTCAATCACTATCCCCAACTAATAAAAAGAAAATTATTCCTACATATTTATTAAAATATTAACATGTTTTCTTGCTCTAAAACATCTATATTAAATTATCTACGTATATATTAAAATATTAACATATTTTTTTGGTAAGCGAGAGGCTACGGGTTCGGCTCCCGTCGGAGATAGGTATTTTTCCTCGTATCGTACCGCGGTATTTTTTTCAACGGCGACCCTAGTCGTTGGAACGAATTCTAGGACTTGTTTGGAGCTATGGTGGACCGAAGAAACTTAGAACCCCGTCTGAAATTATTTCATCTTCGGTCATGCCTAGAAGGAGAAGCCCAAGCTTCTCTCTCTGACCTAGGTAACACCAACCAAGACTATCCAATTGTCATTGACACACTCACGAAGCTCTATGGAGACCCCATCATAGTCGAGAGCAGAAATCATTCAGTACAAGATCCACGAGAAAGGACCTACTGCACTTTACAAGCGATGGGCCCGTCTCCACCAACTCTACGCACAGCTAACCTTCTTTGGCAATCGAACCGACTCAACTCTTCTCGCTCAAGTCCTAAAGGAGAAATTCCCCCGCTTCATTTTACAAAAAATGTATAAGAACGCAAAGAAGGTACTCCAAGGCAGCGAGATGTTGGCGGCCATTGGTGAAACTTTGCGTCAAGAAGCTATAGTGGAAAAGTTATATCAAGATAACCACTCTGAACATAGGAAAGGAAGCTACCAGAAGAGCCCAACTATCAGAAGCCGGTGCACGCTCACATCCACTATGGCCAAGACACGAAGAAATGCTGCCTTTGCGATGAAGGGCATCTAACCTACAAATGCCCAAAGTACACAGAAACACAAGAGCGCTTACGGGTTGTCAACCAGAGAAGACTATGCCGTAACTGTTTACGCCAGGGGCACTTTACGACTGAATGTCCATTAAAGAAAAGTTGTGGACACGGCTCCCAACGACATCACTCAACCCTGTGTTTCCGAAACGACCCGTAAAGTCCGTCTCACATGCAGAGACGCAAGTCACAAAAAGTGACTTTTGAAGCCAAACCTAAGAAAGGTACCACTACTTCACCTCACAAACCGATTAATACCAAGCCGAGCCAAAACCCAAGAAAGACTGAGAAGACGCATGTTGTCCTTGACGAAGAGCAATCGCCCGGTAAGCGAGAAGTTACGGGTTCGACTCCCGTCAGAGATAGGCAATTTTTCTCCCGGTCTTAGTATCGTACCGTGGTATGCCAGTTGCCACGCGCTGCGACACGAAAAGCGGAGGAAAAGAGCGTCGTCCGATACCTCAGACTTAAACCATTAGCGTAATGTTTAGTCTCGTCGTCCACACAACCAAAAAGGCGATCGGGACCACGCTCCGTCACCTGGTTTTTTAAATTATGTTTTTGTTAATATTTTTGACTGCTATTATTATCGTTTATGTTATCGAGTAATCGTATGTTTCGGTTTATTAACCCAAGTTGAGGCTTCGACAATTAATCAAACCAAGTGAGATTCTTGGATCAGAATTCTTCACAAATATTTGGTTTGTAATTTTTGGTTTTATTCTTTACGATATTGTCGTAACATCAACTAATAAAAAGAAAATTATTTCTACATCTATATTAAAATATTAACATTTCTTGCTCTAAGACATCTATATTAAAATATCTACATACATATTAAAATATTAACATATCTTTCTTACTATAAAAGACACCATTCTAAACATATTTTCAAGTTACTTTCATATTATGTCGTTGTTTAAATAAATATTATTGTACTGAAACGGTTGGGTTCATATTACTCTGTTTTCACAACGACAGTTTTACTAATAAATATGACAGTCTACTTGAAGCCAATATTGTTTGATTAAATGTCAACTCTAAACAAAAGGAAGAAAATTCTTATCTTAAAAGTAGAACTAAGAAAGGATGTTATTATTGTAAGTCTTAAAGTCATTTCTATTGTAAGTCTCAAAATCATGTCGCAGATAAATGTGATATGTATTCTGCAGTGTTTCAAAGCAAAGTTTATATTTACCATCACAACCTTTGTGAAAACGATATTGACAGTTATATGCAAATTTTAAAATTGAGTAATGCAATCTATCAAGACTTTAATAAAGAAAATAAGCAACTGAATTCTGATTGCAGCGTTAAATTGAATCTTATAAAAACACTATACATATTAAAAAACTGGCTAAAGGGAAAGAAACGATCGAAAAACATCCTTACACTATTTTACTATAGTAAAGGAAAGTCGTCGGCTATAAAAGCTCTGATTTTTGTGATTAAACTTACGTATTTATATACTACTTAACTGTCTAGTCAATTCCCATATAACATCCTATTGCAAAAACAAGAGCAGATGCCGTTACTGTAACGACGGTCACTATTACTCACTATAAGAATTAACGTGCTGTGATTATGGGTTGTAGCCAACAAAGTAAAGAACTAAAATGTGTTCTCAAAGAAAAGGAAGAATTAATTGAATGGTACCACCAGAGTTAATGGAGTCCCGTGAGAACATTAATAGTCTAAACTACACCATTTCCGCCCAAAAAATGGTGCGCGTAGTGCAGTGATGAGCATGGCGAAGTATGTTTGTAGTGATTACAAACATACAATATTCTCAGTAACTTGTTTATTAGTATTCAAACTATTATTATATCTCATTACAACAACGCTCTCGGATCCTTATATATCTTTATTTGCTCTCGACTCCTTATTTTCGTGTGATAGTGCCTATTTTGTTCCTATCACACTGGTTCAAGTCTTAGCCAACACATCTCACTAATTTTTTCTTCCAAGATCAATTTCCGTAGGGGGAAAGGGCACAATTACCCAGTTAATCTTCTAGAAACCGCCGAACGTTTTTTCTAACTTCATGGCAAATATGTGTAACTGCAATTTTGATCACGTCAATTCTACCTTATTATATGTGTTATAATTCTTGCAATATGCATGTTCAACCCATTTGGGTCTTCAAAAAGTTTGAAGACCCGTTCGACGTTAGATTCAGGTGTTTCACGAAACGTTGTGACTCTGTGGTAGATGTAAGAATTTTACAACTAAAATCGCCGGGAGAAAACGTAATGGAGGTTTTTAGCTTTAATGCAGAAAAAAACCGTAAAAAGAAAAAAGTTAAAGTTCTAATATCAACTACAAAAGTCACGACGGTAATTCGGTTGTGATCACGTGCCTAATTATTTATGAACAAACAGTCCATAAATTACCTATCAAGTTGTTAACGTCATATAATTATACGAACATCCTGCGTTCGGTCCGTAATTCTGTATCACCTATCACAACCCCCCCCATTCGGGATGCATACCATTGTCTCGTATATAAGGCCAGTTGAACGAACAATAAAGAGAATGAAGTAGAACCTCTGGACTCCATTATGTAGAGCGTAAAGAAGACGCACACACTGTCGAAACATCTAGAAACAATTCTAGTTTCGTAATTCCAACACAAGTTATGTTATGTATCATCGTACATTAGCATTTTATTGTGTTTTTGTTCCAGAGAAATCACATAGATAATTATATTCTATATTAGAAAGTTATTAAGTTTAAATAACTCTAATACAAAACTCTAATACCGTACAAAAGCTAATCCTTATTGTTCATTTTTTTATTTATTATGATAGTAATTGTTACGGCTATATTGTAAAGAGTTAGACCCAAAATTACAAACTATATATTAATGTTATGTTCTTATGAAACAGGTCTTTAAACCAAACGTTTAAATTGTTTGAATAATTTGGACAAAGTCAAAGAAAAGAAAGAATAATTAAAATTGAATAATTATCATATATGGCCTTCTGGAAATCACTAGAATATTACATCAAAACAAGCAATGAATCACGTTCACGCCTACAAAGTGATTATGAATACGTTATGCCTTACTCGAACTTTATACAGTAATCAGAATCACAAAAATGCACTGAATTCACTATTACAAAAGAACATCCTGGAAACTTCTTATGCTAATCAGCCAAGATGATTCTCAAAACCCTATGTTAATGAACCAAACTTCTAACACTATAAAAAGACCAACAAGAACGCAATCAAGGAGATAACATACCATGTTCACCTGAAGAGAGGTAGACTTTACGGCTGCTCTTGTTGAGCTAACTAGAAGCCGTCACTATTCTTACTGCAACTTTATATCCATCTTATCTCGTATTCTATATCATTATACTGTATTATATTTCTCGTTGTAACCGCTACATACCATTTACCATTCTATCTATTTAATCTAATACATTATTCTGTATCATATATTATAATACTTACGCTACTTTTATTCAAAAAAAATTTATATTACATTGTATTATCTCTCAAATCACAATTTGTGCTATGTATCATCGTACATTAGCATCTTGTTGTGTTCCTGTTCCGTAATTTATAATAGTACTTTCAAATCTATGTTATTATTGATGCTGTAAATTCTAAATATTGATAAATTTTACTAATTATGATTAGAACTTATTTGCTAAACGAGTTTTAACCCAGAACTCTGTCGTATCACGCCCTACACTTGGATTCTTCACGCTCAACTCAGCTACAACCTAGAAGTTCACTCGGTCTTCACACAACAGACCATAACTACCCCTTGACTTACGGTACCACAAGTATAGTCGCTCGGTCATTGCCCTACACTAGAGACCTCGACTCCATCTTGCCGTAAGTCCTCAAGTAAAGAAACACGGTCGGCCCCGGCTCGCTACTCCGGCTAGTGCACGCAGAAAACAGCACGGTGCGCGCTCATAGCACCTCTAACTCAACGCGTTTCACCATCTTTTTTCAAATGGGTCTGCGATCATCAGGTTCGTCTCACGACATTAATTTTGAATTAAAAAGAAATTTTTTTAATTTTTGTGATTCAGTTGTTATGTATGGTACAGTTTCGTACAGTAATAGTTTTTGTATTACTTTTAACATTGTGTAATATTTTTTATACCATCCTTAGCAGAAACGTAGTACAAGAAATAAGGCCATCGAATCAGTAGAAATTTAAAAAGAAGCGTCGTTTGACATTTTTGTGCGGCTTTCGTAAATAGAGGCAACAAACACCTTTCGGCTTTTCATTTACACCTCGATTGTCAGTTGCGGTGCTGTTGCTTTCTTTTCACATTAATGATACGATGCTCTTTCCTTATGTTTGCATTAATTTGTTTCGTTGTTAAATATGTAATTTTCAATGCTTTTTCAAAACTTTTATAGAATGTGCTATCTCATAAGGTATCGTACTGTATTTTCGAAGTTTTATTGGTACTGGAAAGAGGGTTTTTGTCCGGGGCAGATGAGAGGAGGAATGGATAGAGGGGATTACTTTTGATTTACTTTTTAAATTATATAATATTTTTATATATTACTTAATAAAATAGTCAGGTAATTCGTTATATATTCTCAACGTTTTGATGTATATATGTATTATGCTTCTATATATTACATGTATATATACTTTATATATGCTTCCATATATTACATATATATATATACTTTTTATATCAATATATAAATATAATATTGATATTACTATTATATAATACTATACAATGCTATATAATACCATATATTACATGATATACTACGAGCTTCTTGCTCCAAGCACATATTACAATATACCCGAATTGTGTCAAAATTTTTAGAATATAACGATATTTTAATATAAAAAACTATGTTTTTTAAAATTTTTTAGACTCCAGTAATGTATGGTACAATTCCGTTCTGTAATAGAGATAAATAAATAAAACTGTTTTAGTATTAATTTTATTTTGAGTCATATTTTTCAATCAACCTTTGAAGGAACTTAT